TAGTATTGTTACATGCTGCCAAGTTGGAACCACCTCATAGCTGACCCTCCAGCAGATTTTCAGAGACTGTAAATTGCATGGGAGATTGGCTATTTTTCTTTCTCAGAGCAACTGATGAATTCGAACTTTCTGCCTTTGGTTTGATAACAACAGCATATTCATTAAGCCACAAGAGCTCCCTATCTAAGCCATAAAGCTTATATTTTAAACATATATTTTAAACCAATCTTTTTAAGTCGTCATCTTTTGATTAAAGAGTTTAACACATTGTTTACATATTTATCTCATTTATTATGCTTTTATTTCCTGGAGGTTTTTTCCTTTGCTATGCTGAACATTTTTTCATTTCTCTTTTATAATAGTGACTTGAAATTTATACAACTGATTTGATTCTGCAGCCTCTCTTACTTCTTTTTTTAGTTTTGAATCTACTTTCCGCTTAAAATTTCTAACACTATTATGAATTATGAGTTGAATAGAAGATTTCAAAAGACAGCACGGGATGACAAAACAAAATATTACAATGAAATGTGCAAGGAGTCGGAGTCAGAAAAACAAAAGGGCCGAACTCGCTCAGCATATCTTAAGCTCAAGGAACTGAAGAACAAATTCAAACCTTGAGTTGCTATAATCAAGGATGCTTTCGGCAGAATGTTAAATGATCCAGGAAGTATTAAAAGAAGATGGAAGGAATATACTGAGTCACTGTATCGAAAGGAATTGGAAGACACAGAAGAATTTCATGAAACAACATATGAGCAAGAGCCTATGGGGATGAAAGAAGAAGTTCAGGCTGCTTTGAAGGAAATGGCAAAAAATAAGGCTCCAGGAATAGATGGTATACCAATTGACATACTTCAGTTAACAGATGCTGCCCTGGACGTGCTCACCAAGTTATGCGAAGAAATCTGGAGAACGACCACTTGGCCAACTGACTGGAAGAGATCGATATTTGTTCCTATCCCAAAGAAAGGTGACCCAACAGAATGTGGAAACTACAGAACAATCTCACTGATTTCACATGCAAGCAAGATTTTACTGAAGATTATCCAAAAAACGACTGGAACAGCACATCAACAGAGAACTACCAGAAGTCCAGGCTGGGTTTAGAAGGGGTTGTGGTACTAGAGATATTTTAGCTGATGTTAGATGGATCTTGGCTGAAAGCAGGGAATACCAGAGGAATGTCTATCTGTTTTTCATTGACTATGCAAAGGCATTTGACTGTGTAGATCATAACAAACTATGGCTGACTCTGAGAAGAATGGGAATCCCAGAACACTTGATTATTCTAATGTGAAACTTATACTTGGACCAGGAGGCAGTCGTCAGAACAGAGCAAGGGAACACTGCATGGTACAAAATTGGGAAGGGTGTACGCCAGGGATGCATCCTATCTCCATACCTTTTCAACCTATATGCAGAACAGATTATCCGGGAGGCGGGGCTCTATGAGGAGAAATGTGGGGTCAAGATTGGTGGACGATTTATCAACAACCTGCGTTATGCGGATGACACAACCCTGCTTGCTGAAACTGAAGAGGACCTGAAGCGCCTGCTGCAGAGTGTCAAGGATTGCAGCCTACAATATGGATTGAGGCTCAATGTCAAGAAGACAAAGATTCTCACCACTGGACCAATTGGCAGCATCAGGGTGGATGGTGAAGAAATTGAGATTGTACACAGCTTTAGTTTGCTTGGCTCCATAATCAATAGTCTTGGCACCAGCAGCCAGGAAATTAAAAGGCGCATTGCCATGGGAAAGTCTGCTGTTAGGGACCTCTCCAAAGTACTGAAGAGCAATGGTATCTCTTTGAAGACTAAGGTGCGTTTGATACAGGCCATGGTCTTTGCAATCACCTGTTATGCATCAGAGAGTTGGACAATGACCAAGGAGGATAGAAGGAGAATTGATGCCTTTGAGCTGTCATGCTGGAGAAGAGTATTGAGAATACCATGGACTGCTAGGAAAACAAACAGATTTTTCCTGGAAAGGGTTAAACCGGGTGACTCCTTGGAGGCAAGGATTCTGAGGCTCCATCTAACATACTTTGGACATGTTGTGAGGAGAGACCCGTCCCTGGAGAGGGACATCATGCTTGGGAGGGTGGAGGGACAGCGCAGGAGAGGAAGGCCCTCTATGAGGTGGATTGATTCAGTGACTGGGATAATTGGGATGGGAGTGTCAGAGACAGTGCGATTGGCACAGGACAGAGTGGAGTTTAGGGCTGTTGTACATAGGGTCACTATGAGTCGCAGGCGACTCGACGGCACATAACAACAACAACAACAATTATGAATTTAAAAGTGTCTGTTAAGGATTTCAAAATAATAAACTGTTTTTAAGCAGCTTTTAATATATGCTGATTTGGCAGCACCATGATAGGTGGAGAAAAGATCAAGATTGTTAACAAGTTTTCAGCTTGATTAAATCCACAGTCAACACTCTTGATAGCAAAAGTCACGAAAAAGACGAATGCATTGGGAAAATCTACTGTCAGGGGCCTCTCAAAGAGGTCCTAAAGAGCAACAGTGTCAGTCTAGAAAATAAGGTGCACCTGACTCAGACCATGGTCTTCACAATTACTTGCTGTGTATCAGAGAGCTGACAATGAATAATGGTGACAGAGTTGAACGTACTGTGAACTGCCAAGAGAACAAATAGATCTGTCCTGGAAAGGATGAAACCAAGCTACTGCTTGGAGGCTAGGATTTTTGAGCTCCATTTCACATACACTTTGGGCATGTTGCCAGAAGGGACCAGTCCTTGGAAAAGCACATCATGCTTGGAATGGAGAGGGAAACCCTGAATGAGATGGATTGACACAGTAATTAGGGTAATGGGTGTAGGTGAGCCAAAGGCATTGAGATTGGCTCAGGATACGACAAGGTTCAGAGCTTTTGTGCATAGAGTTGTTATGAGTTGCTGTGGACTTAATGCCACATAACAACAAGAAGCTATCATGGTTTCTATCCTGAAATAATTATGGAAATAGAAACTTCAGTGTTAGAATAAGAACCACAGAAGAAGAAATACGCACATGATATATATGTCTATCTAACTGTGTTCATAATTCATCCTGCTAAGACTAATAGCAGACTGTTTATGGGAAATCTCAAGTCATTGCAGTCCTAAATGTTTAAACGGCTGTATACGCCCATAATTTCTAACACGAACAGTTTCATCCTTGGTTCAGTTCCCCAATTCCTCCATGTCCCTTGGGTTCAGATTTGCTAGAAGGTCTCCCAGAGACTCAGACCCAGGCAGTAGGTGTGTGGGATGGTTTTGGAGAAACTGATGAGCAATGGGTGGCACAGCTAGATGGTAGCGGTGGGTGACGCAGCACAAAATAAAGTTAATCATTGGCTTGAAAAGACCTTTCAATGATAAACACATGCAGTCTTATATTTTTAGTATTCCTTCTAGCCTTCATTTAAGATTATTTCATGCTTTGATTTTTTCCTTCGCACTGCAATACCTATTTAAAGAAAACACTACCTTCCAAACTGGCTTTCTCAATTAGGAACAGAAAAGAGAAATGATAAAACTGTCTTATATTTCTGTTGCATTTTATGGTATACAGAATGTGTTCTTGTTACACACCATTTCTCCAATTGAATTACACAAAACCCCTAGATAGTTATTATCACTCTCATTTTTGAGATAAGAAAACTCAGGCTCAGAAAAGTTACGTAGTTTCCAGAATTTTGAGACCCTGAAGCCCCCAATTAACACAGAGACAGATATTCACTATTAATCAAAGCTGAAACCAAAACCCAGTGGTACAGACTCTTTAAGTGTGTGTAACTGTGCCACCACAGGGCCTGGCAGAAAGGAGGGACTGATTTACTATGTCCCTTTTAATGTAGACATTGAGTATATTGAGAAGATATTCTGCTATGTATATTTTCAAGGAGCTCTGGTGTCTCAGTGATAAGGAGTTATGCTGCCAACACAAAGGCACGTGGTTCAAATCCACCATCTGCTCTGTGGGAGAAATATAGGTAGTCTCCTTGCTTGTGATTAACCCCTTCTGAAAGAAAACCTGCTGGATGGTCAGCTCTGAGTCCCTTCTGACTAGATGGTATCTAACAGAAGAAACTAGCCCTTAACAATTGATGGCATTGTTTCTCCACTGTCCAGCAGATGGTGCTATATAGCTAAGAGAGACTGTTTCTGCTCTTGGAGTGACCAGGAAAGGAGACCGTGGCAATGGCTGCAGCATAGGTCAAATCTTTTTTTCTAGGGTCATTGTAAGTCGTAGTTGACTCAGTAGCACTTAACAAGTGGAGCCTTTGAAGGCAATATTCAAACGAAAACACAAAAGAGCCACAACCAACTCATATCTAACCCCACCATGGGTGCTGAGGCTGTAGATTATAGAAGAGGAGTATTGCCCATCTTTCTCCAGTCAGAAGTACTGGTGGATTCGAACCACCAGAAAACGTAGATCCAAGTAAGATGAAATAATTGACCATTCCTATCTTTTCTCTTCTGTCCTGATGCTATCTATTGGCCCAGTGGTGAGAACTTTTGCTTTCTTAATGTTGAAATGTAATCCACTCCGAAGCAGTGGGCACTTCAAGTCCTCCTATTTTGATCCACATAGCAGTTACCATGCAGTCCATTCTAGCTTGTGACAGCCCTGTGTGTCAGGAGTAGAACTACTTCCCAGAGTTTTGCAGTGGTTATATTGTCAGGAGATCCCTGGTCCTGCCTTCTGAGTTGAGGCTGGGTAGACTTGAGCCTTCTACCTTTTGTTTAGCAGTTTAGCATGTTAACTGTTTACATCACCCAGAGACCCCTTTTCCATATATTTCAATATTAAAACATTTTAGGTCACTAGCCAGAAAGAGGGCAAAATAGTCTAGAAGCATGACAGTGAGGAAAAAGGGAAGGAGGAGGGTGTGTTACTTGGGCATTTGTTCTGAGGTGTTGATCCACGAGGAGTTATCCCTGGAAGGATTCCCCAGCTCAGTGAGCTCTTGATGTATTTCAGTGACCTATGGTATGGTGAGCTCCAGCGTGTACTACTACAACCGCATGATGTCACAGCTCTTCCTGGACTCCCCGCTCTCCAAGACGGAGACGACCAACTTCAGAACGCTGTCTTCAATGGAAGACTTTTGGAAGGTAATTTCAAATAACTTTAAAATTACATCTACCGTGGAAAAATTAATTTGGTTTTCTAATAGGTGAGCTCTGGTGGATTGATGGTAAGGAATTGTGCTGAAGACCTAAAGGCACTTAATTTAACCAGCTGCTCTGCAGAAGGAAGATGGACTCTTTCCATGTGATTGATTTACTGCCTCTGAGAAGTTGCTGGAGGGCCAGCTGTGAGTGGGTTTCCCACTCCAGAGTACACAGTAACAGTAATATTTACACGTCTTGCTGATAACTTACTGGGCTGAAGGTCAGCAGCGCTAGCTGCTCTGATGAGTAAATCCTTTAAAGAATTACAGAAACCTAATGAAGGATCACCTTGGTTTGGAATAAACTTAACAGCTGTGGGTTTGATGTTGTTTTTGTTTCATTTTTTTAAGGGGATGGTTCATTTTTTTAAGGGGATGGTTTGTTTTGGTTTGGTTTTGTTGAGTGGGGGTTTTTTGGGTTGGCTTTGGTGGTTTGCTTTTTTGTTGGGTTTTGTTTGTTTTTTTTTTTTGCTGTGTACTTAACACAGATTATTATTATTCATTTTTTATTGTGATTTTTACAAAAGTTTACAAAAATCTTGAATTTCAGTTCATTCATTGTTGCACATTTTCCTCCCTACCCACCCCAAGTTTGTTTATTATTTCTTTTAAAATGTATGCATTCATTGTTGCATCATTTCATCCTTTCCTTCCCACCCCTCAGTCTACTTTGCTATGCACCTCTTATTCTGGACTGTTGTCATGCAGATAATGTCTAATCATATATTCTTTGTTTTAACAATTCTTTCCTTCATTTGTTCCAATGCAGTGTTCATTATTTATCCCCTCTTTTTTTAGTTTCACTCCAAATCCCATGGCAAGTCCTATTTTGTAACAGTGGTGTTATGCAGTATTTGTCCTTTTGTTACTGAGATATTTCACTCATATAATGTCCTCCAGGGTTACCCATGTTATATAATATTTCATGAGTTCCTTGTTTTTCATTGCTCTGTAATATTCCATTGTGTGAATGTAGGGTTTGGTTTTTTTTAATCTGTTTATTGATGGCATTTGGGTTGTTTCCATCCCTTTGCTGCAGCAATAAACATGGGTGTGCATATATCTGTTTGAGTGGCAGCTCTGATTTCTTTAGGCTATATTCCTAATAGTGGAATTGCTAGGCCAAATGGTATTTCTATTATTTCCAGCATTTTGAGATAGCATCATACTGCCTTCCATAGTGATTGCACCATTTTACACTCTTATCAGCACTGAATAAGGGTTCTTATTTCTCCACAACCTTGCCAGCATTTGTTTGCTGCTCTGTTGAACTTTGCTATTGTTAAGGTGAGTTGTTTTGTAAAACATGCAAAAACTAGAACATCTGTAAGGCCAGAGAAAGAAAACTATTTTCCACTAATACTAGTGGTGGAAAAATAGTTAAGACAACACTCTTATCAAAGCAAAACTTGTGAGTCCCAGAAAAACAAGGGAGTCCTATTGAATTCCACTTTTCACCTTATGCATTTTCAGTTCCTACTCTCAAAGAGGGGATCAAGTCACATTTATTGAGTACCTTTTGTGTGCCTCGTACTGGCTGAGTGTCCATACAGTACTTTATTTAATCCTCATAATAACTTGCAGGATAGGAACTTTCCCCATCTGTCAAAGGGAAAACAGGTTCAGAGAAGTTACATGGCTCGGGAGTAAGAAAAATGGCTGTTGGGGTTTTGTCCCCCTGGCTTCACAGCCACATATTTAGCTCAGTTTCTAATTCATTCAGTCAGTCATAGATTGGATTCAGTAAATATTTAGTGAGTATCTGCTGGGAGTTAAGGTCGATGAGGGCAGAGTTTTGGCTGTTTTCCTTTGTTTGTTTGCTTTTCTGTCTCTTTGTTGATATGCCCTCTAGATACTAGAACAGTGCCCCAAACACACTAGACACAGCTTTTTGGAGATCCGCTGATGGAAGAATTCACCAAACCCCTTGTCAGATTGTCCTAAACTCTGACCTGGCAGCAGAATATAAGTAATGAATGATTCCATATTACTATCTGGAGGATGTGGTACTCAGAATAAGAAAATCAGAAAGGAAATTGGAAAGGAAATAATTGTTTCTCCCTGAGGACATACTTCCTAAAATTCTTACTGAGCCATATAGTCAGAGATGTTGATTTAAGATAGGAAAAAATACTGAGTCATAGGAATGAACCTATTAACACATAAGAATAGTTGGCAATTCAAACCACACTTAAGATTGTTTTGTATCTGCTGATTATCTAATAAGGATAAAGGCAAGAATAATGACCACCTCTTGGTTCCCTGTAAGTATATCTTGTGTAAACTAACAAACTGTCACACCTGTTCACAATCTCATGAAAATAAATGCTAAGATCAGAAAATAGAAAAGGAGACTGGAGAATTCAATGTACAGCAAAAGAATCCAAGACAATTAGACAATCTACTAGATAAGCAAACTAAATGGTGGTGGTGGTGGTTGTTTTGTACTATAGAGTCAGAATCGACCCATAGCTGACCCTCTAGCAGGTTTTAAGAGGCAGTTAATC